ATTTAACAAGCACCCAGATTCTACATATACCCACTGTAAAGCCAATTAATTGACATTCTTCTTTAAGATGCCTGTATCTACAGTTAGCCATGTCTTATTCTTTCCCTGGAGTCCCTCTTTTCTAATAAACCTAATATTAGAATCTAATATTTTTTAGATGTCTCTTAATAAATCTCCAGGGCTGGAGAGATGGCTCAGAGGTTAAGAAGAGCACTGACTGCTCTTCCAGGGGTTCTGAATACAATTCCCAGCCAACACATGGTGGCTCACAACCATCTGTAATGGGATCTGATGTCCTCCTCTGGCGTACAGGTAAACATGCAGGCAGAAGTTTGGATACATAATAAATAAATAAATCTTTAAAAAAAAATAAATCTCCAATTGGGTGTTATAGTGTGTGCCTTTAACCCAGCACTCGGGAGACAGAGGCAGATGGATCCTGGGAAATGGCCCAGAATTAAGTATGGCAAGGGCTTAAGGAGGAAAACCCATAATGCACTGCATTTCCCATCAGGTCCAATCTGGGGCAAACATGCATCCTGACGTATTTCCTGCCTGTACTACCTCCTGCCTGCATGTGATCAAGCACAGCGGTACAGATGGGCCAAACAAACTTGCTTAGGAGAGTGAATACATGTGGCCTCCAGCATTTCAGGAACTACCTGTCCTTGAGCAAGGGGCTTGCATTTTTGTTTCATGGATCTCTAAGGCATAGTAATTTAAACTTAAAAATGTAACTTTGACTCTCACAGAAGGAGACTCTTAATTGAGATAATGCCTCAACAAAATTTGCCTAATGGCAAGTCTGAGGGCATTTTCTTTTTTTTTTTTTTTAAAGATTTATTTATTTATTATGTATACAGTATCCTCAGTGTTCTGTCTGAATGTCTGAATGGTGCCAGAAGAGGGCACCAGATCTCATTANTTTTTAAAGATTTATTTATTTATTATGTATACAGTATCCTCAGTGCTTTGTCTGCAGGCCAGAAGAGGGCACCAGATCTCATTACAGATGGTTGTGAGCCGCCACCATGTGGTTGCTGGGAATTGAACTCAGGACCTTAGGAAGAGTAGGTGGTGCTCTTAACCACTGAGCCATCTCTCCAGCCCCCCTGAGGGCATTTTCATTACTGGTTGCACGGTGGGGTCCAGCTCACTGTGGGAAGTGCCACCACGGGTAGGTATAAGAACACAGGCTGAGCAAGCCATGGCGAACAAGCCAGTTCGCTTAGCAGTACTCTGTGGCCTCCGTCTCAGGTCTGGCCTCCAGTTTCATGCTTCCACAGGGCCTGGAGGGCTCAAGTCTTAGACAATGTATAAAGGAAGAACACACTTTATCAGACACAGAGGTTACACTGTGCCAAGAGAGAGAGCTTCATTAGAATCGAGTCCTGCACACTGTCCTGCTAAGAGTAGTAGCAGTTACCCCAAATGGGCTTAACCTGAGCTCTCACAGCTATCCTTAAACAGATGGTGCTATCACAGAGCAGGAATTAAGTTAAAAATCTGATCTAATCTACATGGGAAATAAAAAGACAAGCTCTCCTGAGTAAACTGGGAGCATGGAGACCACAGGAGAGGGTTGAAGGGGAAGGGAGAGGAAGGAAGGGGAGCAGAGAAAATATATTAACTCAATAAAATCAATAAAAAAGAAAGTTAAAAATCTCAACATAAGCCAGTGAGATGCATCGCTGGGTAAACACTGGGCATTTGAGTTAGTTCCTGGAAACCTCTGTGAGGAGAGAATGAACTCCAGAGAGCTGTCCTTTAACTTACATATACATGCCATGACACACAGACCTCCTCCCATGCACAATAAATAATAAACTGCTTTAGAAAAATTATGATTGCGCTGTATGGCAGAGTTTATTTATTTCGAGTCAGGATCTTACTATGTAGCTCTGGCTGGCCTGAAACTCACTCTGTAGATGAGACTGTCCTGGAACTCACATCGATCCACCTGCCTCTGCTTCCGGAGTGCTGGAATTAAATGACTAAAGCTTGATCACATATTAGAGAGTCTGCTTTTATGAGTAGTAAATGCCTTAAAAGCAGACTATGATAGATTATTTGTTCCTGAGACATACCACACACAGGAAGAATTTAAAGAATCTTTTAGTTGGATAGACAATAAATACTTAACTGATTAACCCAAAAGTTAAAGTGGTTTTTAGACTATTTATTAGACTCTAACATATGAATTAACTCTTATACATTAATCAGCTAATTGACTCTAATATATTAATTTTGAAATTATTAGCCTTTAATATAAAGAAGAGAGGTTTTTTATTAGCCTTTAATATAAAGAAGAGAGGTTTTTTTTTTTTTTTACTGTTGATTTATCCTTTCCTATCTCTGGATTATTATTTGCCTCCGCGAGGCCTTCCAAGTCTTCCTGTTTCTTATCCTTCTTGGCTGCGGGTGTATACAGCATGCTCGGATGCGCTCAGCTTTCTGCCAAAGACAGCTGGCTTGATTCGCAGCAGTAGGAAACTATCTTCTACACGAAACAGCTATGAAGGATGCAAGGATTATGACGAACAGTGAGGGAGTATCGGAACACTTCATAGTGTGTTAGAAGAGCACACTTGTACTTCATTTTACAAAAAGGAATCTGTGCATGCGCAGTGGTAGGTTGCCCAGAATATACACACTGCACACACCACCAACTGTGTCTGTATTCTGAGTTAACCTCTGATTTAGATGTAATCCAAAGGGTGACTCACGAGGCATTCAAGACTGGGTGGCCTTCAGGTAAAAGACAACCTGATACACAGAGAGAGGAGGCGATGGAGGAAAAACTGGCTTATGTTGAGATTTTTAACTTTCTTTTTTATTGATTTTATTGAGTTAATATATTTTCTCTGCTCCCCTTCCTTCCTCTCCCTTCCCCTTCAACCCTCTCCTGTGGTCCCCACGCTCCCAGTTTACTCAGGAGAGCTTGTCTTTTTTATTTCCCATGTAGATTAGATCAGATTTTTAACTTAATTCCTGCTCTGTGATAGCACCATCTGTTTAAGGATAGCTGTGAGAGCTCAGGTTAAGCCCATTTGGGGTAACTGCTACTACTCTTAGCAGGACAGTGTGCAGGACTCGATTCTAATGAAGCTCTCTCTCTTGGTACAGTGTAACCTCTGTGTCTGATAAAATGTGTTCTTCCTTTATACATTGTCTAAGACTTGAGCCCTCCAGGCACTGTGGAAGCATGAAACTGGAGGCAAGACCTGAGATGGAGGCCAGAGTGCTGCTAAGCAAACTGGCTTGTTCACACATAATCACTTGATGAAACAAGTTCATGTTAAAAGGATGTCTAGAGGGGCTGGAGAGATGGCTCAGAGGTTAAGAGCACTGGCTGCTCTTCCAGAGGACCCGAGTTCAATTCCCAGCAACCACATGGTGGCTCACAACCATCTATAATGAGATCTGATGCCCTCTTCTGGCTTGCAGGCATCAATCCGAGCCACTTATGCACATGGATCAAAATTTTCCTCGCAAGGAGGTCTGGCAATGGCAGAAGGACTTGGAAAGTTAGGCTTTTGTTCAGAGTTACGAGAATCTTTAGGCCAAGGATAGAGGTCATGGAATTTAGAGGAAACTTGAGGGTTATAGGAAAGCAGATGCCATTGAAAGAGAGAGAGAGAGAGAGAGAGAGAGAGAGAGAGAGAAGGATGAAGCACTCTTTTAATCCCAGCACTCAGGGAAGCAGAGGCAGGCAGATCTCCGTGAGTTCGAGGCCAGCCTGGTGTAGAGAAGCAAGTTCCAGGACAGCTAGAGCTATACAGAGAAACCCTGTCTCAAAACACCCCTCCCCCCCTAAAAAAAGAAGAAGAAGAAGAAGAAGAAGAAGAAGAAGAAGAAGAAGAAGAAGAAGAAGAAGAAGAAGAAGAAGAAGAAGAAGAAGAAGAAAAGAAAACTGGCTGGGGTTGCTCTGCGTTATTCAGTACTGTGGGGATTACCAGCTTTCTGACCGTGCCAAGCCTAATACGACTCTATTTTGTTAAGTGACAACTCTGCACTGGTTTATTCTGAGTATCAATGTCAACAAAACACATAGGGAACAAATTAATAATGTATCTCAATAATGACACCGGAAAATATATCAGATCATTAAAATAAAGCCCTACTAAAACTAATTCATCAACCTAATCAGATGTCACCCCTGCCTGAGACTACAGAAAGTGTGTAAATGGTCTACTGAATTATCAGAGGTTCAACTATTAAGTGACAGAAAACACGTCGCAGGAAAGGACCCCTGCCTCTGCCGCAGGACTCCAGAGCCAGTGCCAAGTCTCCTGCCTCCGGCCCCAGCTCTCTGCAAACGGCTGGTCTAATGGCCTCCGCTGCGGAGGAGCTTTGGACATCTCTGAATCTTCATTGCTAAATCTTATCAGTTCTCTGCCTCAGATTTGAAGAGAACCTCCCTTATCTTCAGCCTCTTTAACTGTATCCTAGACATTCAGCAACCTGTACATTTGCACGCCATAGTGTGAAGTGTTCGTGTGTAACCTGCCTGCCTGTTGATATTAGTGGTCAAGACTACTGAGATAAAAGAATCGTGGTTGCCAATGGCCATCTCGCAAGGATAACCAGGTGTACTCGTCAAATCAGAGCCAAAGAAGCCCACAAAGGCTGAGAATTAATTGGCTAGTAAATAAATTGGGATATTGGGGAGACATAATGGTCTCCTATTTTCCAGATAACGTGCAGAGAACCCAAGATCACCACACCCCGCGGTTCTCCTCCCTCCCCGCACAGGAGCCCTAAACCAAGTATCCCCCCACGACTCTCCGCCTACACTGCCCAGACTGCAAAGACGCGGGAGCCCAGGAAACCGGAGAAGCTGCAGCAGCGAGCGCTCGGCGAGGGCCAGGACCGCGACTCTGCCTGCTGACCCAGGTCCACCCAGTGGGACCCGGGCAGCGCGGCCCAGCGGAGCCCGATGAGTCCCCACTGTCGCCTCGGCTTGCAGCAGCCTCCTCCTCACGCCCAGCGGCACGCACCATTTCCAGAGACCGGGAGTCCTGATGCCCTCCGGAGACTCCTGCAGTCAGTGAAGAGAACACAGATACCGAGGGGAGAGATCTGGGGGCCTCGGCCAAAGACACAGGACGACAATATGGCGGGGACACACAATGGCACCCCAAATGTTGTGCAGCCTCCGTCACCGAAGACCAAAACTCCTCATTGGACAGTTCACAAAGCCACCAAACGTTCTCCCTGATTGGGCAAAAATCCGTGGGCCCGCCTCCTGGATCCTGAGTGACAGGGGAAGCATCTCCTTCCTCGCAGGTTAAAGTCCTGGCTGAACACTTCACAACGGCCGTTTTTACTCTGGAGAGCTCCGGGCCCCACCGGGGAAAAAACGTGCATTTAAAGCGCAGGCTAACCAGGCTTTGCAGATACTTATTCAGTGGGTAATTCCTGCCGCCTTTTCCTCAAAGTGAGGTTGCCGGTGACCTTAGACAATCTCACATTGTCTCCGGCGACCACCCACGTCCTCATAGAAAACTGACGAAGGCAGTTTAGAAATCCTTGGGATAATACCACATCTCAGAAACGGGGAAAGAAGCAGATAGTCAAGGCTTTCTTACAAATAATTTCTCAATCAATAAATATGAACAAAGGGGTGAGAATATTCAAGACACAGAGATAAGTGAAATTTGTGGAGACAAAAATCCAAAAAAGAAAATGAAAAATTCCTACTTCTTAACAATTGATTTTCCAGTGTTTACAACCTAAACCAAGGACTCGTGATCCATGAATCCAAACATCCAGAGCAGTGGTTCTTAATTTGTGGGTCGAGACCTCTTTGTGGGTCGCATATCAGATATCCCGCATAGCTGATATTTCCATTCCAATTCATAAAAGAATCAAAATTACAGTTATGAAGTAGCAACAGAAACAATTTTATGGTTGGGGGTCACCACAACATGAACTATATTAAAGGGTCCCAACATTAGGAAGGATGAGAACCACTGATCTAAAGCCTCACTTACAACGATCTATAGCAACTGGCCCAAATGGGCAGTCTCAATAGAGAATAGTAGGCACGAAATACTTAGTATTTAATAAGCTATTAGGAAGCCATTCTGGGGAGCTGGAGAGATGGCTCAGCGGTTAAGTGCACTGACTGCTCTTCCAGAAGGACTGGGGTTCAATTCCCAGGACCCACATGGCAATGCACAGCTGTCTGTAACTCCAAGATCTGTCACCCTCACACAGACATACATGTAAGCAAAACACCAATGCACATAAAATAAAAATAAATAAATAAATAAATAAATAGTCATTCTGGCCCGTTAGGTATGAACCCCACAAATTACCTATAAGATGGGATAAAAGAATCTCCCCTTTCACTTGCTATAAAAGATACCCACCATCTCTCAGTCATTTTATGGAATCTGTATTTATCCAATGGCTGTAGCTGTCATACAGTGTATTTAATAAACTTCCTACTTTTGCCTTTCCCTTTTGGTAAATTTATTTACAGCCCATGTTTTGATGTCACCTCACAAGACACTTTGATGGCCCTAGAAGCCTAAATATTAAAGGATTGAGGCTGGGGAGATGGCTCAGTAGTTAAGAGCATTTGATACTCATTTAAATTAGTCAGATTCAATTTCTAGAACCATGTGGTAGTTCGCAATTGTCTGTAAGTCCAGTTTCAGGAGATATAATGCCTATGCCCTCTTCTGGCCTGCAAGGGCACCAAGACATGTATTCAGGCAAAATACCCACACTGCCTTAGCTAGGGTTTCTATTGCTGTGAAGAGACACCATGACCACGATGACTCTTATAAGGGAAACTGTTTAATTGGGGTGCCTTGCTTATAGTTCAGAGGTTTAGTTCATTACAGTCATGGTAGGAAGCAAGACAGCTTACAGCCAGACATGGTGCTAGCAAAGGAGCTGAGCATTCTTACATCTTGACTCACAGGCAACAGGAAGTGATCTGAGACACTGGACATGACTTAGCCATATGTGAGACTCCCCGAAAGCCTGCCTCCACAGTGATGCACTTCCTCCAGCAAGGCCACTCCTTCTTCAACAAAGCCACATCTCTTAATAGTGCCATCCCTTTGGGAACCATTTTCATTCAAACCACCACGCAAAATAATAAAATGAAAAAAAAATAAAAGTAACGAACCTCCTTCCAAAAAGCATACCTCTTCCAACATGCCCCCCATAAGTACATACAAGCAAAAACAACTATGGAGTCCAGTTTGTGTTGGTCAACTGCTGGGGCCTGTTCTGGAGTGTGATTGATGTTCCCAGTGTAAAAAATATTAAAGAAATATGATTTAAATTAAAGAAATAGAAGAAATTAAAGAAATATGATTTTTCCTCTTCCAGCAATTGTTAGTTGCAAATGGCTTCTTGGCATGGGGTCGGACTTTGTGAGGACTTCCCCTTCTCTACTGGGATTTTTCTCTGTCTTGATTAAGTTTATGCAGGTTTTATGCATGCTGTCTCAGTCTGAGTTCAAATGTGTGTCATCTCTGCTGTGTCTGGAAAAGACCATTTCCTTGAAGTCATCCACCACCTCAGACTCTTACAACCATCCCACTGCCTCTTCTGTATAGTTCTCTATCTTAATGACTTTTCTTTTCCTTTTTTGATTTTTCAGCCAAGACAGTAAGAAAGATGATTTACTGTACCTGAGTTATACTTGACCACAAGTGAGAACAGAACTAGTTCAGAATGCCGCAGGTCCAAGGCAGAGGGTTAGCAGGGACTGTTTTAGTCTCTCAGATGGTCTCTGAGAGATGGAAATGTTCCAGATCCACTGAAACTTATTGTCAACAGTATCGCACAGTCCAACAACTTGTACCAGCATTCCAGCCTTCAACATCCCTTAGCTCCTTCAGCCTTTGTGGAAACAAGAGCTAAATTACTTGGACCTCTTGCTTCATCTTCTCTTGTGCTTCAAATTTTGTTTCCTTCTCCACTTTGTTCTCATGGCTCAGGAATATCAAGGAAGATGGAACTAAGGCAGAGAGTCCTTGGGAATGGGCATGTCTTTTGAAACTCAAAGCCTACCTTCAGTGCCACGCCTCATCCAACAAGGCCACACCTCCTAATCCTTCCTAAGCAGTTTCCATGAGCTGGAGACCAAGTAGTCAAACAAATGGGGTATTCTTATTCAAACCACCATAATCTTTAGGGGAGGAGTGTAACAAAAACATCCCACCTAGAACTGAGGGGTCCAAGGCTCTTATTTTCTGCACACTCTCTAGTTGTGGGTCTCTATGTTAATTACCATCTTCTCTGATGAGAGTTGAGCTATGGGTATAGCTGGTTTATGGGTATAGCAATATATCTTATGCTATGTTCATTTATCAGAATAATGGAAGTAGGTTTTCACCTACAGCCTATGACCTATCTAGTATCATGTTCTTGATCTTATTAACAGTATTAAGTAAGAGCTCCATCTCATGAAGCATGACTTAAATCCAACCAAAAAGGGGTTGGTTACTCCTATAACATTCATGCTACTACTGTACCAGTAGACACATCTTGTTGGCAGGGCACTATTGTGGCTCAAAGGGTCCAGAGTTGGGTGAGACAAATAATTACTTTCCTCTTTAGTAGCATAAATGCATCTTCCAGCATTATGAACACTAGCCAGTAGGGTGAAGCTTCTGGGTGAGTAGCAGCTTTATTTCTTCATGTTCCTTGACATAGTATGTGATGTCTTTAGCTATAAGGTCTTATCAGGTTGTGGAGGGTAACCAGTAGCAATAGCAATAGCCTGTACTATTTAGAGCTCTGTTTATTGTTCTAAAAACAGTGGAACCTGAGAGAAAGGAGCCTAAAAATGAGTTGAAGTCCATGCAATAGTCAACTTTATTCAGATCATCAGACAATTTATACTCTGGGGGTTAAGAATGGTCACGTGAGCAAAGTTCTCATGCATTCTAGCTATGTATAATCACAAGGACAAGCCGCACATGGCAAAAGCATGCTTTCCATAGAATCATTTAAACAAATAATAACAGCCAATTGTAGTGAATAATATTAAGTAAACTTCACTCCTTTTTGCTACACCTGGGAGGGATACAAAAACAATTCCAATAACAATTCTTTATTTTTGAAGAAACTAAGGTCACAAGACTCTTGTTTTTTAGAGTTTTCTCACAAGCACGCAGAATTGATTTCATCCTTGGATCATGTTCCAACAGGGTCTATGGGTCCTTTTTGGCAAATGGCTCAAAAAGATGTAACACATTCTTAGTCCTGGGATTTTATTTGGTAGAGTATGATGTCACATTGGTACATTGTCTTTTATGTGCTAACTGCATCTAAGTGCCTCTTATATATGTATATATTTTAGGAAGCATCTTTAATAGTAGTTTCGATTTGGCTTTTCAAAAGATCTTCAGTGTTAGTGTTTCCTTCCCATATTTGATCTGTTTCTGTGCCTCCTCACCCCATCTTAGCTTCTAATTCTAATTTCTTTTTTATCCCTTTATAACATTATTTGAATATCTCCCCCTCAGGAATCCCTTACTAGCAATAGATTATAAATTAAAGGAACTGCTTTCAAACACAGAACAGGAGACCAGTAACAGTCCTGGTTGTCCTAGAACTCACTTTGTAGACCAGGTTGACCTCAAATTTACTGAGATCCTCCTGCCTCTACCTCCTAAATGCTGGGTTTAAAGGTGTGCACCACCACCGCCCATTCTTTTTTTTTATTATTATTTATTGTTTTTCATGCATGTATGTCTGTATGAGAATGCCAGGTCCCTGGAACTAGAGTTACAGACAGGTGTAAGCTACCTGTCTGTGAGGGTGCTGGGGCCTGACCCTGAGTCCTCTGAAAGAACAGCTAGTGCTCTAACCACTGAACCACCCCCTCCAGCCCCTAGGAGACCATAATTCTATGACTCAGGCAAACTTCCTATCTCCTAATTGGGCATTTCTCCTTAAACTTTTATTTTATTAAAAAAACAAACAGATAGAAAAGGTTCTTATTATTTTGTGTGGCTGCGTATGATCCATGTGTGCAGTCATGCATGTTATAGCGTGTGCGTGGAGGTCAGATCCTGACTCTCTCCTTCCACCTCCTTGTGTGTGTCAGGGATGAAACTCAAGTCATCAGGCTTCATACC